TGGCTTTTCAAGGGAAATATCTAATTGAACGTCGAATCAAGCTAACTCCATTACGTGTTTCGCCATGTATTTAATGTATACATTAGTTATTATATTTAATAAAATCATGCAAGCAATTTATTTAAAATTCCAACATATAAAAACATGCCAGAGGTTTTAATTTATTGTTGAACCTGCAGTGAAATTCTATTATTTTTACTTAATACAATTTTGGTAGCATTTTATTTTAAAAACAACAACATATAAATGTACTGGAAAATTTAATTTTTGCAGATTCTTTCTGGTGACTGTAGTTCAGCAATAGTTGTTAATAATGGCTCACACATGAACTATAGCTTTTTTTTCCATTAATGGAAAATTGAAAATAATTATTAAATGAGTATTTTACAATAAAAATCATTATTTTGTCCACAATGCATTTATGAAAACTAGTTAAATCATTAACTATTTGTTTCTTGCACATGTGCAGATCTGTAATTCTTTGTTACTTGCACATGTGCACACCAGTAACTGCTTGTTTGTCACCAATGTAGAAAGACATCATTTCCACTTTTTCAGCAAGGCCATTACAGATGATAAATATTATTGTTTTCTAAAGATTTTTTTTCTTTTTACAAAATAAAAGTTCATATTTGTTAGCTTGGCAGACTATGTTTCAATGAAGTCCTGAGAATATATCACATATTAAATTAATTAAATAGATTCAGTTGATATATAAGCATAAAATTTCCCCATCTTTTTGCATATTGTTTCTAAATTTAAGACGTTCTCACTGAATTCAAAATTGGAGAAAAAGAAATAATTTATTAACCTGCTTATCACTATTATCTTGCTTTTTAAGAAGTTGTTAAATCACTTTGGTTACTTGGAAAATTTCATAAGTATTGAATGTCTGTAATTTTCAATGATATTCTATGCTGTTTCTTTTCTTAAAAGTAATTTTTAAATGTTTCTGATCTTTCATAGAGAATACAATGAAAAAAATTTAGTTAATATAGTCAATACGGCCCACCAGCGGCCGAGCAGTAAAAGCCGCTGAACACTGATAGTTCGATCGAGGGTTCAAGTCCCGGCGAACGGGCTGGCTGCATGGGCGTTTTGAGGTTTTTCCGATGTGTAACGTGGATACGAGCCAGTTTCCCGTAAAAAGACCTCCACGGGGCATCTCTCCTTTTCCATGTAGTGCCCAATGGCAGAGCACATAATAAGCAAAAGAGAAAAAAAAAAAAAAAAAAAGTCAATATTTCCTTGCTAGATCTGCCATCTAAACATGGAGAAAATACATCATCTGCCATAAGAGATTATTTCGAAGTCAATCTGATTGGCAACATTTTGGTTAAAATAGTACAAAATAAATCAGTTTAAATGTCCAAAATTTAGGATTTCTAAGAATTAAATAATATATAAAGAGATTATAAAATATTATTCTGTATGGGTTCTTTCTCATCTAAAATGTCCTGAGAAGTCAGGGAAATGAAAAATGGTCGGCCTATACGAATTTTGTAAGGAATTTCCCTATGCCTAATCTCATGGCATTAGTGTTTAGCCGCTCCATTAGAGGTGTGGCTAGCCATTTCATAAATTAACTACTAATTCCAGTCTAACAGCTGAAATATCTGTGATTCAAATCCCAGCAAGGTCACAGTTCGTTTTTCACATTTACTTCTCTGAAAATAATAATTTGTACAGTGATACCCAAATTAAAACATGATGCAGAATAATTTTTCAATAATTGAATCTGATTGTCTGGATCCTGTAGGTTGCTTTTATATCTAAGAGAGTAGCAATTATTGTACCCCTGCATGTTTACAAGGTGCAAATGGTTAATATTAGAGATGGGTGAAACAATTCTGTTATGAAATTGGATCAGAACCATGAAATGAATCAGTTCTTTTTTATGACTCCCTGCTGACTAACAGTACATTGAAGGAAAAGATCAGATATAAGGGGTATATCAAGAGCCATTAGTGAGGATGGAGTGAAGAGTGAAAAAAATTGAACAAACAGTGGATTGATACTGGTTAGCAAGGTTGAAACAAAGAGCAAAAGGAAAGTAGGGGTGGATTTTAGCAAGATTGGAGTGAAGAACGAAAAGAGTTGAACAAGGAGCAGGATTGGGAAAATTGACTTAACCAAGCACTAACTTCCTCAAATGATTTCTTTCAACTTTAGTTTCCAGATTCCCTAAAACTTCCTTTTTACACAGAATCAACAATAAAATTCTAGACTAAAAGAAATTAGGAAGTGATGAAAATTAAGCTGACTATTAACATGGAAGGATAAACATTTTTTCCTCTCCTAAAATGGGAATCGAACTTTCCTGGCATGCTTTCAAAAAGAGCTCAGCTCTTTTTTAATGAATCAGGCATTCACTTACTCAGTCAATAAAGTGAATCAGTTTGCAAGTGTCTATTTCTGTCATGCTTCCTATAAGAACTCTCCATGAACTGTAAAATAGTAACACTTGTTTTCTGGAAGTAAATTCGCTCAGTAAAGTAGTTCAGGAGCTTATCCTCCAACTTAAGTTAATATTGTCCTGCTTTCAGTTGAAAGATTTGTAGTTTAAATCTCAGGGAAGGCATAACTGAGTTTTCATTTTCTCCATTGTAGAAAGCCTAATATTCTTTACAACTTTAAAAAAAAAATTCCACATCTTTTCTTAAAAATCTGCGAAACAAATAATTATAATAATAAAAAAAAAATATACAGATCTATACTTTCAAGTAATAAGTTCATGTTTTTAATAGTGACTAATAAACCAAACCGCTTTTCTTAAAAGAGAGGCAAATGAGAAGCTACTATGATCTTCATTTTTTCTTTCACAGTATATTTTAGCTACCTTGAATCTGACAACATTTTATTAACCTATAACTCTCCTTTACACCTGCTAGTGAGCTATTAATCCCTCTGTTTGAAAGTGTGACTGCCTTTCAAAAATAAATGCCAGTTTTCCAATAAAGCCATACTATACATTTATTATCTTAATTTATTGTTTTTGTTTCATTTTTGATGTATACACTTCTTGTTGGAAATGTTAACCTCCTTTTTTGATTTAATTACTATCTTTTGATTATATAGAGAGAGTTTAGGTAGTTTGGTACAGTTGGTTGATATTATTATATATACTTGATTTCTTTCTTATATATATATACACATATATATATATATATATTTGTGTGTGTTGGGGTAATCCAAAAGCAATGTCTTCAAAGCACTAGAGATGCATGTAAAGTTTTTATGTGGCTGTTGACAACTCTCATATTTTTTGCTTATCCCACTATAAACAAATGTTGCATACATGTTACTGGGATGCTTTAGTCTTGGCTTGGCAGCCATTTGTAACCCGGTTGACACTACTGCCAAGTGCAAGTTCGTATAGTTATTCTTTTTCTTTTCTTTTTTTTTTAATGCCAAAGGTGTTAAACTAATTGAAATTCATTGCTAGTTGATGGAAGTGTATGATGAGTCTTGCATGGATGTCAAAAATTTTCGCAAATTGAATGGGGTGTTTACAGCTGTTCATTATAAAATTCACGACAAAGAAAGAAACAGGAGACTGTTAATTTCCAATAAGACAGTCACAAAGGTTGAGCATCCCTTACATCTTAAGTTGAAACAATACTTAGCCTAAACATGGTTCGACAGTGATGACGAGGTGAAAAGTGAGGTTCACTGCTTCCTCAATGACAGGGCGGTTGAGCTATTCAGAGCTTAAATTGCAATGGAGCTCGGCTCTGGTACTTCTCAGTTTTCGAGATAAATTATAATTTCAGCCAGAGTGCAAATAATGAATAAAAGGGTTACGGCACTTTTCATGTAAGGGAACTACAATTTTAGCACATAAATTTTGTTTTAATAGTAAACGTGCCTTAAAAAATCAAGTCTAACTTCTGAATGCAGGCTTGTCTTTCTCTCGCACTCAAGCCTTGCACAGAGGTTGAGACTTAAGGAAAGAAAAGCTACCCCGCCCCCCCAATTGTATGCCAAAGGCTTATTCTCCAGGATATGCAATGAATTTATGAGAGCGGGTCAATTTTGTATTCTCTCAAAGAACTAAAAGTGATACACTGGTCATGCACGTTCCACACTGGTGACTTTCTACTGCAGAGCTCCTGTAAACTTTCTGAATGATGTAACCCAACGGGGCACTGCTGCCACTTGTACAGAGAAGTCTTATAGTCGTCAAGCAGAAAGATAGACAGGGCATCGCGACCAGAAAGTCTTGAACTCTTCATTCTTTATTTTCGAAGCTACACCTTTTTCGTTAAATTTCTTTCCATATCCTCATACTGTTTCTAGAATTATCACTATTCTCCTTAGTGTAGCTTTAACCATTTTAGTTTTTTTCCTTGGTATGCTGGAAAAAAAAAAAGAGTGGAGCCTGTCATCCCTTGGAATAGTACATTATACGTATAATCAGGGCTTTAACTCAGACGGAGATCGGGTGAGCTGCTTCTTAGCATCTAAGTGGAATTCTAGCCGATGCCCCAAATAAGACAAGATCCGATACTTTTTTTCGTATTTAACTATTTGAAATTAATATAATAATTTATTAGGTTTCTCTTTATCTCTTTACATTTTTCCTAATTTAATTAATTATTTTAATTTTTAGCTATTTTATTTATTATTATTAATATTATTATTTCTCCTTTCCTTCCTCACTGTCTTCCATAGGGTTGTGGCACTTCTAATTTTAGAAATTAATCCTTGCAGCTGTTATAACATGGGTATCTAAAAAGCTGCCACAATAAAAAGTTAACATTGCTTTTGGGATTACTTTCATATATGTATATTAAAAGACAAGAGTTCTTTTTTTTACTATCAGTCTAATATGTTTAAAAACCAAGCATATTGAAAAATGACTTAATTTGCAAAAACCTAAGTAAATTATTGAGATCTTTTTTATTTACTCTTTTGCCATAAAAACAAATCAATTTATAGGAAATAGAATAGGCAGAAGTGATGCAGCTCTAATTAATGTGTTCTTTCTTCTTTCTTAGATGCTGCGGAGAAGTTTGACTGGGTTGCTTACCTTCGTGAAGATGATGAGAGATACAGTACATTTTCAGATAGTAATTCTGAGGTATGTTTTCCCTCCAGCTTACAATTTTGATACTTATTACAGGGTTCTCACTCACCTTAAAAGTCAAGACTAGGGAAAATGGTCAAAGAGAGTTGCTGAAAATGTCAGTTTTTTTCTGTAAAAGGCCAGAGATCAGAATTTTTCTAAAAGTCATGAAAATAATGATTATTAAAAATAAGTGCATATTAAATTCTATAAATAATAAAAAATATTCTCTAAATGATAACTAATAAATAAAATTTCTGCATCTTAATAATAATAATAAAAAGTTAAATGAATCTTTTTCTTCTTTTATATTATGAGTATTTTACTCAGCTTATATAGCTAAACAATTTTATCAATTTGTATATAATTGTTATTAGGAATATAATTGTTCTATCATCCTTCTGTTCATGAGTATAGTTTAAAAGTCACTGCACTGTGTTATTTTGCATTAAAATAAATATATTTGTTAAATATTTTTTTATATCTATTGAAAATTTTAACTTTTCAGTTTTGTTTTGAGCACCATAGTACTAATATTTATTTTGAATGAAATTATGAATTTCTTTTATAAAAAGAACATTTATTTTTCTGAAATTTGGTATTTTTGTAAACCTTACTTGCTTATTTGAACATTTCCTGTTTACAGTAAAAGTTTGATAATCTGGCATCCAAAGGTTCAGCAAATCATCTCATCCTGAGAGTAAATCTTACTTCTGCAATAAAGTTAGTTTTTAGTCCAAACAGGCAATTTGCCCAGAAGGACTATTGATTTCATTTTGGTATTTTGCGCTCTAAAAGTCAGTTCACTTTTCAAATTGTTGCCGCCAAATATTAGAGCCCTGTATTATATTTAATGAAATTAAATAACAAATAATCTGCATAAATGTAAGCATGTTTCTCACATTGTGATAAAACAACGGTATCTAGAGCCATGGAATTTTGAATATTGAATGTTTCCACCTGAATATGGGCATCTGGAAGACCAAATTTGAAATTTGGAATTGGTTTTATTATCTATTTCATATTTTGTAAAATTTTAATGAATTTTTGATTGACAAACTCAATGATTTCAAAGTGAGCAGTGGCAACACCGTATGGGAAAAAACATTTTTGTCTCCAGAGCACAAGACTGTGTATATGAAATTATAAATGTATCCTCATTTTAAAATTATTTTGTGATTCCCATCACTTATGTGAGCCATTTTTTGCTCCGTTCTAAACAATTGTATTTTTATTAAATTAATATTTTAATATTTTGAGAAAATGTATGTTATGTAATAATTGTTACTAAATTTAAGTATGAAACACACCCACAAAAAAAATTTTACATGTTTTTTAAATTTATTTTATTACAGTTTCCTTTTTGTAAAGCACAAGTGTCCCATCACTTTTGTGAGACACTGTATCTAATTAGTCATGTCGGTGCATTTATTGCCCATTCAAAAACATCTCCAAGCAGTGGGCTAAACCGCATTCGAACCTTGTGTGTGTTGAACTAAATTTTATAGTTTAAATGCGAAGAACATGATATTTAATAAATAAAGGTAGCACTTGTAAACACCATGGCACACACAATTTGACAGCTCTTGTTACCATTCCTATAGCTTGTTACATTTTGTGCTCCTATTTATATTTGGCCCCAAGTTAATGAGGTACCGTTAACCGAAATTTTATATTGATTGATTTTTTTTTTTTACACAAATTTCTAGTTTATAGTGAAATAATTGTCATTAATTTGGCATTTCAATATTAATAGTTGTTTTCGTCGGATGAAAGCTCTCCTGAGGCAGACCGTGGATCTGAAAATGGCTCTGTTGACAGTTTACTTCACTCTCCTCTTCATCCTCCCCCTAGAGATGATTCTGGGATAGGAATCAGCCCAGACAGTTGCTCTGGCACATCCCAGCATTTCCATGGTCACAACCAAAACATACAGGGATTTCAGGATGGAAATTCCAGTGTTCTGAAAGTTGTTCAAAATTCCTCTTCGTTTTATCCATACTGGGTGTCAAAATACCAGAAAACTTATTTTCCTTGTCGCTATGATTTACAAACTATGAACTTCACCAAAAGATGGTAAGTGTTGCATTTTGTGTACTTGCTTGTTTGTTGCTGATTGTATCTTAACAGTAAATACCCTCTTCCCTTTATTTTCTTGCCATACAATATGTGACAGATAATTTTCATCTGGGGAAAAAAAAAAAAAAAAAAAAAAGATTTCTTGCATAATTGGGTATTTAACATATTAGCAAACACCTCAACATAATTTGGTGATATTTTACTGATGAAAAGCTAACAGTTGTTTTTTGAATCTTTTATAAAAAGATTCCTAAATTGTTGATGTTTATCATAAGTTGACAAATATTATCAACATATTTTAGCAATATAAAATACAAATTTGAATTGTTAAATAAGAATTACAGGATGCATTAAAAATATCATTTACATTCGTTTCCAGATCTTTCTATAATTTTTTTGCAGTATTTTTCCCAAGTACATAGCAATCTGTTTTCACTTTAAAAAAAATCAGAGAATTGCGGAGAATCATCATTGTGCAAACCTTGGCAACATCAGCTATCTACAGAACACATCTGCCTGTATTTCCCTTTAGAAATTGTGCTGCAAAAATCTGTATTCCTGCAGAAATTTTACTGAAGTTTCTTCCATTACTGGCAAATTCCAAAAGCTCATATTTTAAAACTAAGGCAAAAAGTATGATTTGTTTATAAAAAGCGCTGGAACTTGGAATACAACAAAATGGAATTGCATGCAAAAATGATGGTATTCCTTGACTGAAGGACTGTTATGAGCATCGTTGCTGGAGAATGGTTACCTAAGTTTGCACATTCTGAAAATGTTATGACTTCTGCAAAGGTGGTTGCAATAACATGCAAGTACTTATAACTGTTATTCATTACATGCTATACTTTTTATGTTATACAACCCTTTCTTCGTTACCATTACACTCATGTATTGCTTAGATTCGAAAGATATATCAGCTCGTTTTAACGTTCTAGGGAAACAAAAATTGTATGTCACTAGATTTTGAATGTTTGATCTAATGGTACATTATATGGATAAATTTACTTTGAAGTTAGGAAAGCAAATAGTAAATGCATATTAATGTTTACATTTATATGTCTAGTAAATAACAAGTAATTTAATTATATTAAAATACCAAAATCGCAACTTTCCAAATTTTTACTAAATGCTATAGAAAAAACTAAGAACCAAGTGAAAACAACTTTAAGAACTGAAACAGAAATGAAGTCAAGGTCAATGGTCAGATTGTTAGAACTGTCAGGTTGAATTGCTTTTGCTGTCGTCAGGGAAATGGACAAAAATAATTTAGTTTTCTATTCCAACTAAATGATAGCTAGACCAATGTTTCTGATACTGTGTAATTTTTAAACCACAAAAACAAGTTATAAACAATTACATAGAACCATCCCCTATGCTAATTTGCAACCACCCCAAAAGTGAAATAAAATCATTTCAAAATGTGGAGGATAAATAAACTCGAAAAAACAATTGTATTTATTATTAAACTTGTGCTTGATGGTAAAGTTATAATGCTAGGCAAAAAAAAAAAAAAAAAAAAAAAGGCAGGTGGCACTTGAAATAGTTTTTCCCACACCTCTTCAGGAATAGAATTTTAGTGCTGACAAAGTTTGCTGTAGGTTAGAGTTTGTAATAGTGGAAACCCTGTCATCAGTTTGAAATTACCATTCTTTGCAGCATAATCAACAAATCCTGTTTCTTCCAGGAGAGAGAAGAAATGTTGATGTATTTTATCACTTTTGCATTCAGTGTTCGTATGGTCCTTAAGAGTTGTCCTTAGATTTTTTTAAATCGATTTTTGGTTCTTAAAAGTCCTTAATTTTGGCCAAAATCAACAGAAGATCCTTAATTTTTAATCATCTGAAATTTCTCTCTGTTTTTACAATTGCCATTTTGAGTGTGAATTAGAATTTTGGAGGAATATTTTTGGCGATTCACTGGCATATATGGTTACCTTTTGAATGGGTTTATGGGTTATAATTTGTTTCTATTTCTAATATAATTGATAGGATACTCGAGTTTCTAAGCAAGAAGTGAAACATAAGCATTTCAAAATTCATTTTTTCTAATAAAGAGCTCTTAAACAACTTTTCGCTTTTGGAGATGCGAATTCTTTTATTAAGCGGTTCTAAATCTGGCGACATTTTTGGCGATTTTAAGATCAGTTTCTATAGAAAATATTTAATTCCAAGATCTGAGAATTTTTGGACGATTTTTTTTAAAACATCCTAACATTGATAAATTTCATTAAAATAATGGTAATAAATTGAAATTGTGTTAAAAAAATAACATTAAAATAAAACATTTTTATTTTTCGCTGTCATATTATAAAATTTCATTTTGGCAACTTATACAATATTTTGACTCTGAAAAATAAACAAGGTATAATGCTGTAAAGCACAATTTACGAAATGGCTCTTAGCAAAAGCAAAATTAGCTATGTAATTAGTTAAAAATATCTTCTTTTTAATTTTTTTCATTTAAAAGTTTTTTCCATGTAATTGTCTCAGAATGATCAGAATTCTCAGAATATGCATCAGTTTTCTGTATAAAATTAATTTCACACATTTTTCCTCCAATTTTTTTTCCAAAAACATATTCTGGCTTTTTGCTATTACAGAATTGGTAGGAGTAATTTTTCCTTAGGATTTTAGACATAGCAAACTTGGAAAGTTTAGAAAGATTTTAAGGCAAGATTTATAGACCCACGATTCTAGAAGATTCGAGAAACATGTAACAAAATGAAAAATGTCTCCATAGTATCAACACATAATGGATGTATTTTACAGAAAGTTTGCGATGAATTTCTTACTTTTTGGAGAATGTCTGGAAGAACAATGAAAACATAGTATTTGAATATTTTACTCCTGATACTAGAATCATTTTCGTAACATGTTTATCTTCCCTTTATTATCTCTACTTTTCACTAGACACAAGCATGGAAAATATCAAAAATGCTTCTAATCTTATCACATGGGTAGCCATTATAGAAAGGGATTTTTTTATTAATAAAAGAAATGAAAACTTACAATTTAAAAGATTCATGTAATGTGTTTTAATGCATCATATACTAGGCATTTTCCCACCTGATGCAATCTCTGTGGAGCGTTAAATTCTGCTTCCAATGCCTGCTCTAAATTCTAAAAGTTTTGCCATTTCTAGATTTTGTTGTTCGGTGTGTTACTAAATTCTGCCACAACGGCTCTGTATCCAGCCTTTACCATATATATTTCTTCTGAGTGTTCATATTACTACAAAAGTAAAATTAGCCATTTTCTATATATTCTAAATGCATTTCATGTTTTTTAGAGTAATGGAAATCTTTAATTAAATCCAAAAATTCTAAAATGAAAAGGAAATGTGTTGAAGAAAGAAAATAATAAAGACAAAGAAAATTATTCTTCAAAGAAAATGTGCAGTTATTATGTAAATTACCAAATTGTTTATGATTTCAGCCTTTACTATAATTTCCCATTTCTGTTTCCTCATATGATAGAGTTACTGAACCAGATTAAATTTAACTTAAAATGTATAATCTTTGACCACTAGTCCACACTTTTAGTTTGAATTTGGTTGTTCTTGTTTAATTACGTCACCGTCAGCTGTAAATGATTTTGTTAGCAACAGAACATGCCTTTATATTCTAAGTTCTTATTATATAAGAGGCTTATTTAAACCTTTGTCTGATATTTTAGTTATTTTCGGATATAGTGATAGTTTGCTTCACATCAGTTGGGGGTTTTTGACTATTTAACTTTTACCAGATCAAGTAAACCCTCATAGGTACATTGTGGAGAAGTTGACAAGTGTGCAGGCAAACCTCCACATTATTCAGCATCAGGTGTGCTAACCGCAGCCGCTCAAGGACAACACGAAAAAGATTGCAACAACCGGTTTCTTGCCCTTCTGCTGCTGGCGTTCGAGGGTGTAGGATGGGCTTCGGTCTGTCCTCTCCCTGGCTGATGCGATGTGCATTTTCCTGCTTCTCTTTGCTTTCCTTCGATGCTGTCTGCTATACATGAAAATCATTTTTAGTGAGATTTTTATTATTAGAAAGAAGAGATTAGATTCAAGAAAATAATTACTCCTGTTTCCTGTACATCGTTGCAGAAAATAATTTTTGTTCAGCTTCTTCCTCCTTTTGAGAACTCTTCGCGCGCATGTGTTTGTGAGATCTGAAATTTCCTGATTTAAAGAAGAAAAAGCGGAAATACCATGATTAATCAAGTGCGCTTAATGACTGCTATCAAAATTTGATTGTTCCTTTTACACCAAGACTTTGTTTCGAGCTGATAGAGATAGATTGACTTTATTCTGAGTGCAACGTTAATTCTGGTGATGCGCATTACTCGTGCTTGATGTTCAAATTTATTCGTCTGTCTGGTTGATAATTTTATTTATATTAATGCTTATTTCAATATCAAAGATGAAGAATAAAATATAATTGATTTGGTAACATACACTTGCCATACTTTTGGGTAAGTACTTTGATTTCGTATTTCCTTCTAGATCACACATTTTTGAGCACGTAGTAGTATTTATGGGTTATTGCTACACAACGCGATTTACTAAGTAAGCAATTCATTTGATTTATATTTGTTCATCCTTTAATTCAAAAAATGCCATGTTACTACACTTAATTCTATTTCATTTTTACATTTAGCACCGCAACACACCATCTATTATAACAACAAGTTAGGAGATAAAGCACTTAGGTTGATGCAGAAACTATCGAGAACATTGGTTTGCATTTTGAGACAAATCTCTAATTGTTAGAAAAGATGCTTAAAGAGAAGGAAATTGATATAAACTAGCCAAAAAGGTTTCATATTAAAATGAGGGATAAATATTTTGTTGAGTGGTGTTGTTATAAAACATAAATGTTTTGTAGCTTTTAATGTGTAATTATCCTAATATCATTTAAGGATCAATGTTATAAATTACATGTATTTTAAACTGGGAAATTTGATTAGATTTTGATTTTAATAGGCCTTTGTTAACAAATATTGTTAAAAAATAAAATTTAATAATGGTGGCCATGTAAATCCATAATAGCTAAGGTTGTCTAATTACCTAATTTAATTATTTATAACTAACTGTTTACCCTTAAAAATTATCTCTACATATTAAAGCGAGTTATTGCCTTTCATTAATACTCACTGTGGTCACAAGATAAAACACAAAAATGTAAAAATTCAAGTAAAACTTATACTTTGCATCTAGTGAGACTTAAAATAATACAAAACAACTTATCACCTCTGGTGCTTTAATGGCTTGTTGGAACCTTAAATTATATTAACTGGGTTACAACCCCTGAAACTTTACATGAAGCTACGACACTAACTGCATCATACAGAGCCCGACTAACTTTCAACACTTGCCCAACTGTGCCAACATCAGGCCTTTCAGGTTTGTTCTAATGAGCAGGTGTTTCTCTAGACAAGCAGCAGCAGTAGTAACAACATTCAGTCTATTGTTCTGAATCATGCTGATTATGATCTTACTTCTCATTTTAACCTATGCCGTTTGACATAAACTCTACCTTCTATTTACTCAACCTCTAGACTGACCAAGCATGTGACAAAATGAGACATTAAAAAAATAAATAAATAAATAAAGCTAACTGTGACTAAAACGTAAATATCACTTATCTTCTTTCAAATATGTCCATCTGTTGTAAGTGTAACATATTTAATGCTACTTGATAAATTGCATAAAGTTTAATTTATTCTCAAACTTAATAATAATTATGTTAATTAATTCATGTTTAGTTATAATGCATACTACTTAGAGATCTATTTTATTTTTAGGATGGTATTACAAAAGTGAAATTCAGGCATAGATAGTATTTTTAATTGAATTTATTCAGTTCCCATTTGCTCATAGGTCTTTTTTCATTAATGGTCCTTAAAAGTACGTTATTTCCATGTGCTGAAATGTGTACGAACCCTGGTATTCATATACTGTATGTACCTAGGTTTTGTGATTAATCAGCATTTTATGGGCATTAAAATGAGTTTAGCTTGATAACATATGAATTAGTAATTCACATACATGAATTTTTTCATAATTTTTGTAAATATATGAATATTTTTTATATCATTAAAATTTTTATAATGTAGTAAAGCTGCCATTAAAGCTCAACTATTTTAAAAGCTTGGGAAATTCCAAATTTTGGATAGCTAAGTATATAAGAAACATAATTCCCATCAGAAAAGTGAGATTAATGGAAAAAATGTCTGCTGTAAAATCGTAAAACAGGTTTGCCACACTACCTGAAAAACCAGGAAAAGTAAAAAAATTCGAAAATTGACCAAAAAAAAGGGGGGAGGAATTTAAATATTTTAGCCCAAATCTGGAAATTTCGTTTGCTGATCCCCGAAAAATGACTTTTGTGCCAACATTGGAGCGGATTACTTTTTTGATGAATTATATATCGCATGAGATCATTCCGGAAGCTGGTGTAGAGCCAATTTTAGCAGCGCTGATCAGATTGCCTTTCAGACAGGAGAAGCAAGTTTCCAGCATCTTTGATTTCTAGCAACCTACAGAATTTGTCTCCAGAAAATGGACGTCTGAATCATATTGAACAAAAGGAAATTCTGCCTCATGTTTTTCTGTTGTCTATAGAATTAAAAAATGTCTAGAATTAAAAAAATCTGCTAAGTGATAAGTGAAACTTTGTAGTCTTTTACAAATTATTAACCCCTTAACTGCAGTGGAAAATGTACAAAATTCACTCTCCAGTGCCACCGTTTTCTACACAGGCGTGCATAGTTATGTGATGTATTAAGGGGTAAATAAGTGCAAGTTCTGCTGTCTAAAAACTGTTTACTTTCACAAAATAAAGAATAAGAGAAGAAATGAAAAGGCAAATTTAATATTTAAAGTAGAAGTATATACAAAGATGTAAATATAATAAAAATGATCCTAAAAATATATGTATATGTATATTTAAATTAAAAGCAGTAGCAGATTTGGCAGAAATTTCTTCACATCATTTGGAAAATTGGAAAGCAGATCAAAATTTGTTTCTTGGGAACTGTATTTGGAAATTTCTGAAAAAGTCAAAACATAATAAAAAAAAAGTGTTTTCTGCATCTGTTTGACGGTATTTTGAAATTGCATGTAATTGCATATCCATAATTTCTTGCCTATTTCACCCCCTTTTTTAAACTAATTTTATCATCCAAAAGCCAAAAAATAAAAAATCATGCAAGTGATTTAATTTCTGAAAAACAGGGTTACAATAAGAACGTAACAGATGGAAATTAGTGATGTATAAACTACTGGTAAATATTGCAGTATTATTTCTCTAAAAGAAATCTGCATCCCAATAAGAATACATATTAATATTAACATTGCATTTATCTGACATATATTGAGCTGATATATGATGGTAGTTGAGCCGGCCACATTGCATTATTCAGATAGCTTGTAAAGCCTGCACCTCACATAGTGAATCTTGATCAGAGTTCCCAAGAAGGATATCTTAGAAACAAAGGAGGAAGAAGGTGAACAACAGACCCAGATTTCGAAATCAGCAGTAGATAAAGCTACAATGAAATGAAATGTAAATAACAGAAGTAAGGTGAAATCACATGTTTGGAAAGTATTTTTAACTGTGAGAAACAGCTATTGCATTGGGTAGCTCAACAAATAATCTGCACAAAATATGTTTCATATAATAAATGCACAGAAAAATAAATTAGCCCTCAGAAAGAAAAACTATGTTCAATAGAGGAAGGGGAAAATTATGCTAATATTTTTTAAATTTTCAGAACCTAGCACTAAAAAGCTAGGAAAAAATGCACATAGAAGTATGGTACATCATCAGAAATTTCCCAGTTTAAAGTAAAATATTTCCTCATGTAGAATTGCTAATTTAAAAGAATTCTTCTTTTAATAGTGTTCAATATTTTATGGATAATTCTGTGTTTCTGCTCATAGTAAAATATGGAGAGAAAGATTATATAACATGGGAAGAACTGCAAAAACATTTTACAACTGTCCATTGAGAGGAACCTGCTGTAGCTTCAAGATTTTGATATAGTGATTTCATGGGAAACGTGCAGTAAATGGAATAGGGTAATAAATATTATGAAGCTGAATTTTTTTATTCCATTTAGCCCTTTGACTCCCCCCAAAAAAGTAGTCATTAAAAAAGTTCACTTGCTTGTCACACGGTCAACATATTGGTAATGCTTAATATACATAAATTTTTTACTGAATTTTTTAAAATTACTGTAGAAAATATGGTGATTACACTATAGTACCACTTGGACTATACATCTTGATTTGTTTCTGATGATGCTATAGAAAAAAGTTTTCCTTTAGACAGAGTCCATCATTACAAGCTAAGCACTGCCATTTTGTGCTATGGGGTTAAGCTTTTGCCTTGCATAAACCACATTTAAAGATGCCTCATATATTGGCATATGCACTGCTTTCTGTTGATGAGCCTCAGATGAAACAAAACATCTGTATTTTGTCACTTTTTTGTACCCATTTTCACAGTGCTGTGAATCTGCTTGTTACAGAGATTTGAAAAGTTTTCAGTCATAAAGTTTGACCTTCATTCATAGAGAATGAGATGTATGAATCTGTAACCGTCATGTCAACAAAATGCTAAAATATACGAAGCGACCAATGTTGAGAAGATAACTTACCAGCTGTTAAAAAAGTTATACTGAAATTTATTACACAAAATACTCAGAAAGCACACTTATGACATTCTATAAACGTCATCACTCAGAAAATGCTGATATTGACAGAAGACTGCATTTTATCTTGAAATTTCTGTTATGGGCCAAAAGATGGGGTCCTAAGGTATTTATTTATGTATGTAGTTATTTAAGAAAACCATCGGATTACATTCTATAGAATTTTGAATAAATAGTTTCAGCATTAGACCACCAGGAGTGAAAGGGTTAACAAAAGCAATATCATTTATTGTATGTTAAAATAAAGGTGATTTTTCATTTTTTCATTTTCTAATTTTGTTTCAAGTATATGCAATTTTTTTATTTCTGTAAATTTTGAATTTCATTTTCTGAATTTTTTCCAGACTTCTCATTTTTACTCCCATGAGGTTAGCAGATGTGCGAAGTATAATTTAAAGTTTGAGTTGTTTTTATTCTTGTAATTACATTTCATTATAGGATTTTACCAGTATTTAAGAGTAATTAGGAATTAAGCTTTTATAGTTTGTATGACTTGTCTATATTTCCTTCTTAGATATATTTCCATATTTGTTTAGTATTTTTTATATGCTATTTTATGTAACCTAATTTTAGGGAGGAATTCTCTACTGCTCAAAATCTTTTTAATATCATTGAAAGAAAAGTAATCGTGCACGAACGGAATATCATCAAAGAAATACTGTGGTAAGCATGGTGATACCTTTCAAATGTGTAGTAATATTTAATATGAAAACAGTTACTTAACATATGCAAATAAATTCATTAAATTGGTCTAATGTTTTTAAAGTTCCCCCTTTTTTAAAATGTTCTGTTTATTTAAAAAAAAAAGGGAATTATAAATCAAAGATTAAAACTTTAATTACATATTTTTCCTTCTAAGTTCCCTACTTTGAGTATCATGGCTTATATTTTTATGCAAGGGCTGTTATTACTGTGATCATGACTAAGATTATAAGGTGTAAGTGTGAATAATAAACAAAGACAGGTACACTGCTCAAAAAAAAAAAAAAAGGGGACAGTGCTATATCTCCCGTTCTGGGGCAATTCACGAAATTCAAATTGCGTTCTTCATGTCTCGAAAGCGCGACTTAGGATATATATTAGATTTCTATATTAGCACTATTCTAAACATAGGTATTTTGACAAAACAAATCAGACTTTTTTCTGAAATAACATACCAATTTTTTTACATATTTCGATTCTACGACTCAAATTATGCCAGAATACCAAGTTTTGTTTTTGTAAAATTGTACGAGTAGTTTTTGAAATATTAAGCTCTCAAAATTTTAGCCTCCTCAATGTTAATTGAATTTGGCAAATATTTATTTATATCTCTTTTTTTATTAAACTTTTTTGATTTTTTCTCTCACATTTCGAAATTTAGGTTCATTCCAAAATAAAATTTACCCATTTTTTTTTTTTTGTGTTTTATTTTTTTTTTAAATTTCTATTTTTAAATAATTTTTTCGAAAAAATTTTGAATATAACCTATAAAAAATTTTTAACCATCATCTTAAAGTAAGTATATTTTTAAGCATATCTGCAAAAAATTAGACTTTTTTATTCAAAATTTCTAAGATATACACAAATTTACATATTTTTCGCGTTTTGAAATTTGGCATCTTTTTTTTGAGCGATAATAAACGCCAAATGTGGTCTATGGATTTTTGTTACACTGTATTGCCACAGCTATTTTAAACCTTAAATTTTAAAGTAAAATTTTTACGGAGAATTAATTACATGACATTTTTTCCCTCAATGATGCATAATAAAAATTTATTAATACTATATGAAAAGCTATTTTTGTAAATAAATTTTTTAATATTTTTTTTAATTTCTCTCTATCTTTTTTTTTTTTTTTTAATAAAAGTAAATTTTTTGTATGAGTAAATTTTTACCTTCAGCGTTTTATCGTCTGCTACTTTACTTCGATTAAATCGAATTGTCTAAAACTGAGAATTTTCGTTTGATTTTTATTTGAATTTATGACATTAACTGCACAATTTATTTCTAAACAAACTGATGCTTTTGAAGTGGCTGAAAGAGCGGCTGGTACTATCATCCATATTTTTAAAGCACAGTATATTTTTATAGAAACATAAGATTTAGAATAATCATTTTTATAAAGTCAAATTATGATATAAATATACAACCCTCTAGAGACTGAATTAATGGAAGTTCAAATGGTTATGTAGAAATGATCTGCAGCTACTTAATCGCTGGATAAGTCAGCAGGTTCTGTGGACAAGTAAGAAAATATATAAAAAACGACACCCAGCATTCTGAATTCAATTAAACGAGGATACGATGTTTATTAAATGAATTCAAGAAGTTTTAAAACATAAAAAATCAGCTCATTTTTTATCCTAAACTGTATTTTTGTGCGTAGCGTATTTTCATTATTCTAATTTAAAATTCTAAATAATTCTTAAAATTCTAATTTAGAATGTAATTGTCAAGAACTGATTCTTAATCATCAGTAATAATAATAGTAATTAATTACGGTTATTAATAAATCCTTCTTATAAAGTAATTGCAAATATTTCAAAAACTTTCTGTCTGAATGCAAATATTTTTCTGTGCAAATATTTTTAATTTTATATTTATCAAGATTGCACACGATATTATTTATTTGCACTTCAATTCTTAAACGTCAGTTCCAGTTAGAAGTTACAAATCAATTATATTTAATTAAGGATTGGATTGGATTATTTAATTATGGCAAAGCACACGAGGGCTATCTGCCTAAAGGGAGGGATGCCTTCGTGGAGGACTTTCTAAGGGAAACTGGCTCGTATACACGTTACACATCGGGAAAAACACGAAAAACCACGAAACACCCATGCAACCAGCCTGTTCGCGGGATTCGAACCTTGGACCGAACTACCAGTGATCAGCGTCTTTTACCGCTCGGCCGTTTGTGGGCCTTTATGAAATGGAAGGCGATAACTTTATTTTAAAATGATTGTCAGAAATACCAAAAATGTTTCGAAAAGTTGGATACTTTTTAATATACTTTCAGAATGCTTAAAGAAAAAGAGAAGAAAAAAAATAATTTTTTCGTAAAATTTAGTATTTGTTTTTTTATAATTTAAAATTTTCAGTGTTATGATATTTGATTCTTGCGATTTCAAAATAAAATATTTGACTAAAATGAATACATTTTAAGAAACCAAATGTGGATAAAATTGTGTTTTAAAGCAATGGGCACAATGATAAACTGTTTTAAAGCAGTGTAATGCAAGTCATCCTAAGTTAAAATGTCGGTTTATACATCTCTCTTATTTATATATATCTTTTTGAACGGAACATGAAAGGCATGTAAACTGTGCTTTACTGTATTTTCTCTTTTATATAGTATGCAGTTTTCAAACTCATCCTAGTCTGGGTTACAAAGTATTCTTTTAAAGAAACGCAGTTCAAATAAATAAAATCAAATTCTGGAAAATTGATATTAATAAATATATTTAAAATGCTCAGTTCGAAGAAATAAAAGAAATTTAAGACAATTATCTGAAGAGACAATGCACACAAACAATTAAAATAAAAGTAAAAATTTAAAAATTAAAAAAAAATAAAAATAACTATGACGAAAAAATATATATAAAGAAACTATTTGAAAAAAAATAAATGCGGCACCTTATTTACGCCGTTCGAATAGGTAAATAGAAATTTTAAAACATTTTCGAAGAAAAAGAAAAAAAAAAGTGCAAAAACTTAAACAATTAAAATGAAATTCGAAAAGAAAAAAATTACTTAAAATAATAAGTTATAATTAAAAATATAATATAAAAGAATATTATTTGAAAAAAGGAACGATTGGTGACTTTTTCCTCTCACCGGAAAGGAACTAGGTTGCCATATATTAGAAGTTCGGCCAATGAAGTATTCTTGGCGGCAAACTGACAAAAAGTGCCAACATAAATTTTGAATTTCTCGTAAATTTGCTCCAAATTTTACAAAATTTCATATTTAGGCGTAATTTGAGTCTCGTAGAATCGAAATATGTAAAAAAATTGGTATGTTATTTCAGAAAAGTCCGATTTTTTGTTGTCAAAATACCTGTTAGAATAGTGCTATATATAAATCTAATATATATCCTAAGTCGCGCTTTCGAGACATGAAGAACGCAATTTGAATTTTGTCAATCAGCCCAGTAGATCAGGAGATATAGGACTGTCCCATTTTTTTTTTAGCACTGTACTTAAAATTAGGCAAAGAAACAAACATGGATTTTAATTGGTACTCTGTTTCGAGCTCTGTCAGAAACAGGTCCATCTTTTTCGGAGGCCCACCAGCATTCGAGCAGTAAAGCCGCTAAACACTGGTAATTCAACCTGGGTTTGATTCCAGGTAAATGGGCTGGCTGCATGGGTGATTTAATGGTCATTTTCAGCTAGTTTATCTTAGAAGTTCTTCACAAAGGCATCCCTCCCCTTCAGATATCTTTCATGTGCTTTGCCATAATCAATTAAACCAAACCCTCTTCTTCAGGAGCAAAATGATTATTTCTAAAGGGAGGGGAAAAAAAAAAAAAAAAACCACACATACTTTTGTGGTAGAATTCTTATTCATTTACTTATGTACAAAGGAGAGACAAGTGTAGCTAAATAATAATTCATTACTTTTGATGCTATTTTTCAAAACAGAGGGCAACATCTCCCAAAACCTTACCAGTGCCATTTGCAATGTGTTAGATCTTATTATGTGGTAAAAAAGGAGTGCGTACAATTTCTTAAATTTCATGTAACTAATATAATTGAGATACTTTTAAGATGTCCTTCAAGCCGAGCAGGATTAGAGCAAATTTTCTGTTTGGATTGATCCATTCAAAATATGAAATAAATTATTTCATACATAATATGGTTTGCTCATTAGTGTGCTACACTATATTAATTCTGAGGCTGTAGATTCAATTTTGTAATTATTAACTCAATTTCTCCTTGTTATTTATGACTAAGTATGTTAAATTTCTTTTTTTATTAGTAGTATAGTAATTTTCTTTTATTAAGTAATGAAGAATCTATATATATATATGTTTCTCACAATGTAGAAAAATGGTTTAATACAACAAGTATTGTCCACCAACCAAATATATGCACTCTGAAGATGGAATTTGTTTATTTGATTCAGGTTTTGTGCACATTTAATGTACTTTTAATCATCAAACAATTTTTAATTAATATGTTGCCACTCTTAAAATTTTATCAGAAACTCAGAAAACTCAGGAAAAAAAAAATTTGTAGCCGCTCGATAAAGTGTAACCTATGTATATTTTACATTTAGTCTTAAAACTCAGCAATTTAACAGAAATGTGTTGCCCCTTCCAGAAATAAAAAAATACTTTTATCACACATCGGTATGTTGCCATAACACAAAGCGTGAGATATTTGATTTTTCTTCATTATTCAATTAATCTCATCCTGAGCTATTTAGTAACAATTAATGCAATTTTTCATCTCTCGTATTTCAATGAAATCATTGTATAATATTCTTTTTTTTTTTTTTTTTTTTTTTTTTTTTGTCATAACTATTTTAGGTTGCTGTCAAGCAGCTATAATATTAAATTAGTAAAAAATTGATTTCTTGCAACTGATTTTCTTAGTCATGGAAGAATTTGTTAGGGTTGCTGAGAATGCACCATTTTCAAAATTTTGTTTTACTGTTTATACCATTTGCAATAT